AATAACAGTAGTCATTTTGAAGGAGTGATGCGTGTAAATATTTTGAGAGAGTTATAACAATTATAATGTGATGTGAACATATCTGATTTCCATTGGTGGCAAAAGCACAGTTTCTGCTAATACTAATGTGATTTGTCACTTATATTCATAACTAAAGGAAATGATAAATTTCAGTTGGGAAGTTAGTGAAAATAAAGTTATCATTTTTCCCTATCAAAGTTCATAAGACTTCTGAAAGCTATCAATAGACCTTATGGGGACCATGGATCCCAGGTTAAGAGCCTAAGATCTCTTCCAAACCCCTTAGATTACAGATGCAAAAACTGGGTCCTAAGTGATTTGCCCAAGGTTACACAGGTAGTAAGCATTAGAAGTGGCATTTGAACCTAGATCTAGTGACTCCTCCAGAGTTTGGGTTCTTTCCACTCTACCACACTACCTCCTCAGTATGGGCAGCTAGGTAGTGGATCGAGCGCTGGGCTTGGAGTTAGAAAGACCCGAGTTCAAATCAAGCTTCCTGTACTCACTCACTAGCTGTGTGACCCTGGGCAAGTCACTTCAACTTCTGTTTGCCTAGGAGGCAGCTAGGAGGCTCAGTGGATAGAATACTGGGCTTGGAGTCAGGAAGACCTGAGTTTAAATTCAGCCTCAGACACTCACTAGCTGTGTGACCCTGGGCAAATCACTTAACCTGTTTGCCTCAAATTTCCTCAATTATTAAATGGGAATGATAACAGCACCTACCTCTCAGGGTTCTTGTGAGGATTAAAGGAGATAATAATTGTAAAGCACTTAGCACAGTGCTGGGCACAAAGCAGATGCTGTATAAATGTGTATTCCCTCTTTAGCCCAGTGATTCCATTCATCTATCCATGTAGCCATCCATCCATCCATTGGGATAGTCATGGTACTTCCCTCCCATCATTGTTAGAATCAAGTGAAATCATTTGTAAAGGCTTTAGCACAGTGCCTGGCACATAGCAAGGGTTTAATAATGCTAACTAACTTCTCCCCCTTATCTGTTCTTCTCAGATTTCAGAGCCAAGTCAGCTTGGCCATTATACATACCAACCAAAAGTAAGGCCCTACTGTGTGTAAGGCACTGTGCACCCAGGGTTTCTGTCCTTTCTTTGGCCTTCTCCTTTTCTTCTGGCTTCTTCGCTTTCTCCCCATCCATTGTTCACCAATGCACTGCCAAAGATCAGGCCTCGGGAATCCTTCTGTAAGTAGTTCAGTCCACAGAATTATTCAACAACGGTCTGCCACAAGACTGGTGTTGCTACATCTTCCTCTGCTTTTGGATTTGCTCGTAAACTTGGTTTGGCACCACTCTCTGTCCCCACGTAACCCGAGTCAACCACAGATGGGCCTTGTAAAGCTTCTGAGATGGGGGGGACACCCTGCATGGACTCCTCTCTATGGCTGCCATACAAGGGACTTCACCTCCCTGGGGGGATGCTAATCAGGGATCTTCCGCAACCTTTTATAGAGATTGGCTTACAGTTGCTGCCCTCTGAGCTTCAGCCGCTAATCATGTTAACAGCTTTATGTTGGATGGCAGAAACAGAAATACCACCCACGGAGGCTCTGCCTCCTAGAGTGAAGAGGACAGAGAGGGTCTCTTCCGAAGATTTACTGATGTGGCAGTTAGTAAAGACCAGGAAGTTTTTTATGACATTGTTTCCAGGTCTGGAGGTGGGATTTAAATGTTTCTGCCACATGGGTCCAAAGAAAAACAGTAAAAGAACTTCATGATTAATATAGCCAGAGCCTGACTTCAAGCACTTCATTCTGTTTGCTTGCTGCAAGCATTTTTCTTTTCTAACTAGATCTGTGAATTTATTGGTAATTATCCCAAGGAAGAAACTCAACCAATGTAGATGGGCCCCCCTCTCCTCTGTAATGTAAAGTCTTAGAGAGTTGCCTGGGGCCCTGAGGGATTAAGAAACTTGCCTTGGGTCACATAACTAGTATGTGTCAGAGGCAAGACTTGAACTCAGGTCTTTATCCTGCCTCTTAAAAGAATATTGTTAAAACTTGATGATGGGGGGGATGGGGGGCAGCTAGGTGGCACAGTGGATAAAGCACCTGACCTGGAGTCAGGAGGACCTGAGTTCAAATGTGGTCTCCGACACTTGACATTTACTAGCTATGTGACCCTGGGCAAGTCACTTAACCCTGGTTACCTCACACAAAACAAAAAACAAACAAACAAAAACCCTTGATAATGGTCCTTCAAGCCTTTTATGGTATCCTAAGAGAAGAAGAGGAACTTGAGGTTTTCTATTGACTCCAGTCTGGCAAGATGATCTTGAGAAACAGTAAAGTATCACCTTCATAAAACACACATTCGTTAAGCACCTGCTGTGTGCACAATATTGAGCCCTAGCACAGAGCATGCAAAAATCAAACTAGAAACATTCCCTGATGAGTTTATGTTTTTCCAAAAGGATATAAAATTTATGTAAGCAAATGAATGCAAAGTAATTTCCAGAAGGAGAGAATGCTAATAACTGAGTGAGGACCGGGGAGAGATGGAGATCAATAAAGGCTTTCTATTAGTATATGGCATCTGAACTACCTGAGAGGAAGCTAGGGGTTCTGGTGGAGAAATTCCAGGCATGGGGTATCACTTGCATAAAGTCAGGAAAGTGGAATGTCATGTACAGGCTACAGCCAGCAAGAGAATTTGCCTGGAAAAGAAGGATCGTAGCAGCAGCTAGGTGGCACAGTGGATAGAGCTCTGGCCTTGGAGTCAAGAGACCTGAATTCAAATCCGGCCTCAGACACTTGACACTTACTAGCTGTGTGACCCTGGGCAAATCTGATTGCCAAAGCCAAAAAAAAAAAGGTTTTGAGCTAGAAAGGGAACTTAGAGACTGTTCAGTTTAATAGTGTCATTTTCTAATACAGAAACAGAGACCCTGAAAGATTCCACAACTTGCCCAAAGACACACAGGTAAGAAATAGAAGACCTGAGATTTGAACCCAAATTTGATTCCAAATACTGCATGTTTTCCACTCAAATTATTATGAAATGGTAAAGTGTATGGGCAACATGAGATATTGGAGGCCCCCTTGGCCTAATGCTAGGTCAAGGATTCTGTATTTTGTCTTAGACAACAGGGAGCCATTTGAAGATTTTTTTGAGGAGAGGGCACAGCATAGTTCTACTTTTGAAATATAAGTTTGGCAGCCATGTGGAAGTGGTTTGGTGAGGGAAGAGACTGTAGATAAAGACCCCAAATGGGCTATCGCCATAGTCTAAGTAAGAAATAATAAGGGACTGAACTGAGGGTAGAGACTGTGAGAACAGAGAAAGGACCAGATAGATGTAAAGTTGACAGGACTTTGCAAGTGATGGGATATTGAGGGTGAAGGAATTTCTCAAGTAGCAAATTTGTTTGATCTAATTTTTGTTCTGTAGAAGGGAAGACCTTATGGAAAAAGACTTTATAAGTAATGGGATACTGGGGAAGGGGGGGGAGAATTTCTTAAGAAATAAATTTGTTTGATCCAGTTTTTGAAGTATGGAGGGGAGAGACTAAGGAAGATCTTACAAGAAAAGACCTAAGTTGGGACTTGAGAAGTATTTCCGTAATGATGATGATGAAGATGACATCTGCATGATGCTTTAAGATTTGCAAAGTGTCTCTCCTATTTTAACAGGCAGAGAGTATGTCCTGACTATGTGTAAATACATATAAGATGGGACAAGATTGGGGAACAAATTGTAGTCCATTTGATTAAGGTGTAGAATGCATAAAACTGAGTAATATGAAATAAGGCTAGACTTAGGTCCTTAGCCTCTCAGTGTTCTAGTACAACTCTTTAAGACTATAAGCAGAACGTGGCTAATATGGAAATATGTTTAGCATGACTTCACCTGTATAATTGTTCTGTTTCTTACCTTCTCGATAGAGGTAAGGGGGAGAGGGAGGGAGAAAATTTGGAACTCATTGTTAAAAATCAATGTCAAAAATAAACAAACTAATCATCTTTTAGAAAGACTCTAAGCATTGTGAGAGGGCTTCCTCATCTGGGAGGGCCTTATACCAGTAGAATTCACAGGCATAGTCCCTATCTCCTCTTTTCCTTGGAGAAGGAAAAAATCTTCTGTAATCCATCAATAACTGATTCTTTCTGACTCCCCACATCTCATTCAGACTCCAAGACCTGAAAAACTTTTTTTTCCTTGCTACTATCTAAATGTCTTTAGTATTTCTTATACATGCATTTCCCATCTAGGACATACAGCAAAGACACATATGGGATATAGCCAATGGAGGGGCATGGTATTTTTGAAGACCTGGTCACTCATTCCCCCTCTGCAATTAAAAGCTCATTAACTTTTACATCTGGAAGTTTTATCTTTTTTTTTTTGAGTCAGTGGGGGTTAAATGAATTGCCCAGGGTCACACAGCTAATAAGTGTCTGAGGCCAGATTTGAACTCCTGACTCCAGGGCCTGTGCTCTATCTACTGAACAACCTAGCTGCCCCAGACATCTAAGAAGTTTTAAAACCAGCAGCTGAGATTTCTGGAGAAAGTTACTGGCCAACCAAGGAAAAGGACCAGAATCTTGGGTTTTGGCCAGGAAATTGTGTTTACTGAGTGAATGAAAAAGCATTTATGAAACACTTTGCTTAGGTTAAGAGGGTAGCAAAGAATACAATCAATTTTTTTCCTAAGATCTCGAGTCTTTTTGAGTATATTGACTTGAGGGAAATGGAAAGTTAACCCACTCTTTCTTGCTTGGGTTACAAGTAGAAAAGAGAACAGTCCCTACTCCCAAGGAAGTCATGCTCTATCTGGGGGAGAAAACACCTAGGGGAAGATTCAGCTGAGGGTAGATGGAAAAGCCCAGAGATTTTACAGATGGGCCTGTGGGAAGGCCCATGTTCTGATTATTGGAGATGTAACAAAACAACGATGTAGCCCAAGACTGAGTGAACCATTGTGAGTCAGTTAATGTTATACTTGTTTTGGTTTTCTACACAGGTTTCCTCATCTTCCAGAATCACCTTGACCACACTGTGGCTAATTGACCTGGCAGCTGGACCCACCCACCTAAAACCTCAGGAAAGTCTCTTTTGTGGACTGCCCTCATATCCAAGGCCTTATTTGTTGTCCAAGCCACTGGAGAAAATGATGTGATAGAGTCCACATTGAGGCTCTTTTTGGAAACGTGCCCACTCATCCCACAAAGAAAGTGGCTTTTTTTCTTGCCTTGCAGAACAGACAGTTTCCAATTCAAAGATGCCAGCCAAGACACCGATTTACCTGAAAGCCGCCAATAACAAGAAAGGAAAGAAATTTAAACTGAGGGACATTTTGTCTCCAGATATGATCAGCCCTCCACTAGGGGATTTCCGACACACGATTCACATTGGAAAAGAGGGACAGCATGATGTGTTTGGGGATATTTCATTTCTTCAAGGGAATTACGAGCTGTTACCCGGGAACCAAGAAAAAACAAGGGTTGGCCAGCTCCCTGGGCATACTGAGTTCCTAAGGGCAAACAGCACCTCTGACTCCATGTTTTCAGAGACACCTTCTCCAGTGCTCAAAAATGCCATCTCACTGCCTGCCATTGGTGGTTCCCAAGCTCTTATGTTGCCCTTATTATCCCCTGTGACATTTAATACCAAACAGGATTCTTTTGGGCCCTCAAAGCTCCCAAGGCTTAGTTGTGAACCAGTCATAGAAGAAAAAATTCAGGAGAAAACCAACCACGTGGAGAATGGGACTATGCACCCTGAGGACACCCCATGGAAAGGCAATGGTATGGCATCCCACTACAGTAATGGCAGAGACAGCCACTCGTCCAGTCTCTCTGAACAGTACAGTGACTGGCAAACAGAGGATATGTTTGACAGTTCTGTTCCATGTGAACTCATCAAGGAGAAGACAGACTCCGAAGAATCCCTCTCTGAGCTCACGGGCTCCCTGCTCTCCTTGCAGCTGGACCTCGGACCCTCACTTTTAGATGAGGTTCTTAATGTCATGGATAAAAATAAGTTATAGGACCGCAGGCACATTGTCGATGGTACTGACAAGCCAAAAGCAACCCCAGTGGAAGGAAATGTACAAAGAGCTTCACTAGTTGTATTTGCAGTTATGCAACAGGTTTTCTAAAAATAAGTGTTCCTAAAAGATATTTTTTTACCTGTTATGTTGTTTACTGTTTGATATGCTCATAGTTCTCCTTGCAAAACAGAAGAAATGAGTCAGAACCAGTTTTCTGCAGGCATTCTTGATGAGCAGATCAAAAGTTTGCTAGTCAACAAACAAGGATTCTGGTTAGGGATGGCACTTGGTAAGACTGCCTGCCTCAGTCATCATAAGGAACTTTGCAGTACCCTGATGTTTTCCAAGTGTTATCAGAGAAGCAGCATAGGGAGGGAAGAAGGAAACATTAATTCTCTCCCTCTTATTTAAAATCTAAACTTTTTTCTCTCAGTATAGAGAGTTTTCTAAGAATTATTATCTGTTTGGGCTGCACTACACTGTAGCTAGGTCTTCAGTGTTAAACTATTTGTATGGTTTCATATTTGAACAACTTTGTGGGGTTGGGATTTTTTTTTCTTTGCAGTTCATATATCCCTATATATTCTATATCTCAGATTTTTGGACCGTCAAATACATGTTGGGAAGATGACTCAAGCAAAGTATTACTGTAACTAAATTATTTTTAAAGTTAAAATATATTTTTATGTGCCTTTGGCTTTTTATTGCAGAGTCTACATTTTATAGGAATTGCATCCAAAAGTCATCGCTTGCCTTGTTTCTGTTGGGGGGATCCATTGTAAACCGTATATGTGTGTGCGTGTGTGTTTTGAGAAGATGTATTAATACTTAGCATTATTTTTGTTTCTTCATCTATTATCACATAAGCACATAGCACTGCAAACAACAGGATTGTAAAGTTTAAAAAAAAAAAGGCACTGGTTATATTCACTGATGCTTCTGCAGAGACTGAGCTGCCCGACCTAATGTTTGGGGAAATGTGGCTCTTGATACAATACTTGCATTAACTACATAGGTATTTCATGCAACACAATAAAAAGTAAATGTTCAAAGGAGCTGCCTTTTGACTGTCCTGTAGAGGTGGGCCAAGGGCATTGGGTGAGACAAAGGGAGGGATGGAGGCAGATGATAAAATGGTTGCTTTACACCCAGGGTAGAAGAATTTTACAAAAGCTCTTGAAGCAGGTCAACAGATAAATAATTTTCATTTGTTTGTATTAAAAGATATATGTCCTGTTATTACTTGGATTTATGAGGCTCCAGAAATAAGTCTTATTAACCTCAGGAAAACGTACCTGGCAAACAGAAATCTCATTTATAGCCAATATGGGCTAACAAAATTTCATTGCCACTACCAGAATCTAGATTCTTGTCTCTGTCATTGCTTCCTTCTTTCCCAGGCATATAAATATAGCCTGGTCACGTAAGCTGCCATGGTTTCCCTTTCCCTATGCAAGAAATGTTCTTCCAAACTGAATGGACTAAGAGGCAAAGTGTCTATCTCACAACAAACATTTAATTAGCAGCTCTTTATGTTGGGCAATGTGTTAGGTTCTGAGGATACAAAGACAAAAGTGAATCTCCCTGCCCTCACAGGGCTTACATTCTACTAAGCTGAAACATATTTGAAGCAGACACATGGCAACCTTGGTGGGGAGGGGAAGACATGAACAGCTTGGGGGTGGGAGCAGGGAATCCATGAAAGGCTTCATGCAGAAGACCTTGATTCCTTGAACAGACTAAGAAGTTAAGATAGCAAAGAGTACAATCCGTTTTTTTTTTTTGCTGGATCCCCATGTAAGAAAGATTTTAGGGGGTTGGATTTCCACAGCAGGATAAGAAATTCCAAGATCTTGTGGGTAGTCCCCCAACCAATCAGAAGGTGCACCAAACATTTTGTACAGGACTAGCTCCTTAAGAAAGAGCTCTGGAGACTAACCCGGTTGTAACTTGTGGGTTCAAAGACAAGGCCTTGACAGGGCAAAGGGTTTTCTCCGCTGAGCTTGCTTAATAAGCTTATTAAATATTAAATGACACACCCCAACGGTGGAGGTAGCCGCCATTTTTTGACATGGGATGGGCTGTCTAGGAAGAATGTAACTCAGATGAACTAGACCAATCATAGCCCTGGTGGGTGGAGTATGGCTCTTAACGGTTTAAAAGTTGATTCTACTGTTGAACCAGCGGCCACGTGTGCTCCTAGAGTACCCTGTTCCCCCTTCTCTCACAAGAAGTGTAATGAAGACTTTCCTTCACTCACTCACTGCTGCAGGTTTTTGTTTCAGATTTTTCTAACACCCAGACACTTTGAAGACATTGACTTGAGGGAACTGGAAAGGTACACACTCATTCTTGCCAAATTTGGGACTATACTATCACCACCAAGGGGGAAATATTTGCAATATGAAGGCTGATAACCTTTCATTCCCTGGCCCTACCACCTGCACTAACACCCATTCATTTTAAACAGCCTTTGGTTTAATGGCCAATGAGATCCCAGTATGTAAAATACACACAATATCCATCTAAGTGCTTCATGAGCCTGCTTCCAGAAAGTCTTGGTGGAATGGCCCTTTCCCTCCTCTTTCAGAGCTTATCTGTGGGCCAATTACTCAGTGGTGACTAAGTCTTTCAAATGGCTCTTATCTGTAATTGAATTTGAATACAAAAAGCAGGAACAGATAAACATTAGTTTCTAGAGGTGAGTGGGCAGAGCTGTAGGCCTCTGGGTAGGTGAAAAGGTAGTAATTCAGCAGTATCTTACCAATGGTTTAAAAGTTGATTCTACCGTTGAACCAGCACCCACATGCTCCTGGAATACACTGTGCCCCCTTCTCTCACAAGAAGTGTAATAAAGACTTTCCTTCACTCACTCACTGCTGCAGGTTTCTGTTTCAGATTTTTCTAACACCCAGACACTTTGAAGACATTGACTTGAGGGAACTGGAAAGGACACACTCATTCTTGCCAAATTTGGGCAGCCCATTGCTATCTTAGCAAATCTCATGGTGCTATGTAAATGCTAATTATGAGTATTATTATTATTACCACTTTGTCTCACATGGCATCCATGTGTGCATGGCGGAATGAATGGCTGCCTTTATTTATGTATTGTGTTTATTCTTTCCTAATTGTAGGTGGATGAATATTAGAAAGGAGTTGCTTGTGAGCTTCTGAGTCAGAAAAGACATCAAAAGTCCCTTCAGCAAGCAGAGCTGGGGAGGAGCCAGCTCTGAGGAGCAGCTTCCTTGACCCAGCACAGCAGGGAGTTGACCCAGCAGCTGAGACACTGTGACTTGTAAACAAGGGAGCAAATGACCCATTGGCTATGCCACCACATCCAGAAATGAACTTGGTAGGGATCCAGTGAAGGGAAAAAAGAACTCTCAGGGCCAGGAAGTACCCCCCACCCAGTTTGGGCAGCACAGGGCTGGACATTTCATAACAACCACTTCAGGCTTGACTCTACTGTCTCTGAAATTCATTCTTACAAGATCAGGAAAGAAGAAACAAAAGACAGAAGAAACAGGAGGGAGGTCATGAGTTCATGGGCACATGGAAACAGGGTGGGGAGCTAAGGCAGATCCTTCTGCCACTGTTATCCATGAGGTATTCTCCCATACCAGTCTACTGTATCTCCAACCCCAGCTGCCTTGAACCCTTGTGGATGACTCTACCTCTGGGGCCTACTGGATCAGTGCTTGAACAAAACCACCGTATTGGGAGGAGCCCCAGCCTCCTTACTGCTCATTTTGCTTCCAGTTCATTCTCCAGCATCAACTACCTTGTGAATATAATCTTCTTGACTGTCCTGTCTTCTTATTTTTGTAATGTTAGTGCTTTGCATAGTAATTACTTAATAAGCATTTTGATCTATCTACTTACACCCAGAGACATAGCATTTTTTTTAAACCTCATTTGCAGTCAGAGAAGGGAGTTTGAATGTTCATGTCCTTTATATACACACTCAATTCCAGTTTAGCCAATTAAAAAGTTTTTCCCCGCCACTCAGTAAGCCAAAAAAAAATGATTATCTCCATCTGCTCCAAAGCAGGGAAAGAACAGGCTCCTCCATAATGAATTTTTGGAAGCAGGCTCACCAAGCCGTCCAGTCTGTATAGGGGGTGCTCATTGGCCAGCCTCTTCACTACACTTAAATTGCTTCCTTCTTCCTTTTCCCCTCTGGGACCCCCACAGATATAATTTAACAACCACTCCCATTTATATTGTGCTTAATCATGATATGCAGCAACTCTGTGTGGCAGATAATATTAATATCTTATGAATGAGCAAGCTGAGGTTTAGGAGCAAAGTGATTAGGCTAAGATCAAACAGCCAACAAATGGCCAGGGTCAACCTTCCAATCTAGTTCAGTGTTGTCTCTGTGATACCTAAGACCTCATTTTTACCTTCTTTCCAATCTATATGCGGTAACATACACTCTAGCCCTTTCATGATGTATGACGGACAACTAAATGAAATAGAAGAATTAACCTTTCAACAGAACTCCACAGTATTATACTGATGATAATGCTGGATAACCCTGCGTCTTCTGCTTTGTAAAAGCGGTCCACTCAGCAGTTCTCTCTGGACGGCTCTGCCAGCCTTAAGTACAAGAGTCAACTCTCAGCCACTTAAGTGATAATTGTCCAATTTATATATTATCCAGACATTGAGTTTTCCTTTTTCTTGGTAGCTTTCAGACAGGTTTTTGTCCACTTCATTGTTGTAGGACATTAAAACAGAACTAACCTCAGAACATTTTCAGTCTTTTTTTTTTTTGCTCAATACAATTATTAAGCACCTAGTGTGTGCAGAGCATTAGGGAAGATGCAAAGATAAGACAAAAGATTCCTGCTGGCAAGACATTTATAATCTATTGGGCATGGTAATACATCAATGTAGACATTAGTACAAACTAGATTATAGTAATTGAGCAGAGATGTGAGATCAACAGAGGGAGAATCATTTTTAGCTTGCTGTGCAAGGTTTAGTGGGATTTTTTACAGATTAGAAAATTTTAAGAAGATATTGAATGATAGATGAATGAGGTTTTTGTTCTACAATATATTTTAATTTCTGCTTGCATTTACTGTTCCTTTCAACCACAAATGAAAGAGTTGACTGTCAAATTGTTGGCCTGTGTTAAATTTGACAAACATCTATTAAGTCTGTGCTATGCAAGTTATCCTGTTACATTCTGTGCCAAGGAAGAAAAAAAGAAAACAGTCTGTCCTTAAGCAGCTTACCTTCTGCTGAAGAGATAGGACATAGATAACAATAAATGAATGCAAGTTAAATTGGGGAGCAAGAGAGAAGTAGTAACTGGAGGAGTGGGTGAGGTGGGGGAGAGGTGATCAGGGAAGGCTTCCTAGAGGAGGTAGCACCTGAAGCTGAATCTTGAAGGAAAGTAAGGATTTTGAGTCAGAGGTGAGGAAAAGAATGCAATGTATGCTGGGCAAATGCCCAGAGGTCAGAGAAGAAATGTCAAACTCAGGAAAGAGCTAAGAGTTCAATTTATTCAGAATAGAGAGTCTGTGAAGGGGAGTAATGAGAATAACACTGATAAGGCAGGTTGGAGCCGGTTTGTGCAGGGGCTGAAACACCACACTGAAGAGCTGGCATTTTATCCTGGATATAGATCAGACACATCCTAGGGAGACTATTTCGCCACCTGTCTGGTGTTTGGGAAGGGGAGAGACTAGAAGCAAGGGACCAATTAGAAGGCCATTCTAATGCACAGGAGAAATGTAATGAGGGCCTGAACTTTAATGATGATCACATGAAGGGAAAGAAGGGAATAATTACTTTTGATTAGGTTAGATTAGGTTAGGCTTGGCAACTGATAAGATATGAGATGGACTTTGTTGTTGACTCTTAAGTGACAATGATACACAATACTGAATGCTTTTTACATGTTTGAATCTTGGACTATAGGTTTGCTTGTGTGTTTGTTTTAAGCAAGGTAGATCAGGGAGGGAGTTTGTTATAGCAGAAAAGTTCATTGGGCTTGAAAATCAGAACTGAGGTCAAGTCCTCCCAGAGCTGATAATAG